TCCCAGCACTTTGGGAGGCCGAGATGGGCGGATCATGAGGTCAGGAGATCGACGGACGCATCCGGCTAACTACCATCGAAACCACGTCTTCCTACTCAAAAAAACAAACACACTACGCCGGTGCGATCGGTCTGGCGGCGCCCTGAGTCCCCGCTACTCCGCGAGCTGAGCAGGACGAATGGCGTGAACCAGCGAGGACGGACGCTGGCGTGCGCGTCCGATCCCACTGCACTCGCAGCCCGTCTGGGCGCAGCGCGAGACGCTGTCTCAAAAAAAAAAAAAACAAAAAAAAGTGCAGGAAATTAGCATAAGCAATTAACCCTTTAGTCTTTCACGGCTCAAACCGCGCGGTACCACACTGGGACAAAGACAGATAACGTCATAACAAATCCACAAGTTTCAACTACTTCCTGCGCGCTTTTCTCAAAACATCTTCAATAAAAAGTGCAAATCTGCCGGCGCCAGTGCTCACCCTGTAATCCAGCACTTGGTCGGCGAGGCGAGCGGCGATCACGAGGTCCAGAAGAGATTGAGACATCCTGGCCCACATGTTGAAACCTCCTCTCTACTAAAATACAAAAATTCCAGCTAGGTGTGGTAGCGCAAGCGCTGTAGTCGCCAGATACTCAGGAGGCTAAGGCAAAGGAATGCTTGAACCCGCGGGAGAGGCTGAGGTTGCAGCGAACGAGATGGCGCCCAGCCGTATCTCCAGGCCTAGCAACAGCAGAGTGAGAACTCCATCTAAAAAAAAAAAAAAAAAAAAAAAACAGTTTCAGGCCAGCGTGCAGCTGGCTCATGACTGTAGATCCCAGCACTATGGCGACCGAAAGGCGGCCGGCAAATCATCTGAGGTCAGGATCAAAGAGCACCCAGAAACCTCGAAGACACACATAAGAAAACCACTGTCTCTAACTAAAAAACATGCGAAAGAATTAGCACAGGCATGGTGACTCCGAAGAGGCCTGTATCCCAGACTACTCAGTGAGGCAGGAGAACTGCATGAACCCAGGAGAGGTTGCAATGAGCAGAGATTGTGCCACTGCACTCCAGCCTGGGCGATAGAGTAAGACTCTGTCTCAAAAAAAAAAAAAATGCAATTCACTATTTTTTCTTTGGGTCTCACTCTGCCACCCAGGCCATCATGGCTCACTGAAGCCTCAACCTCCTGGGCTCAACCAATCCTCCTCCCTGAGCTTACTAATACTAAGTAGCTGGGATTTCAGGTATGTGCCACTTAGTCCGGCTTTTAGGGGTAGAGATGGGGTACCACTATGTTGCCCAGGCTGGTCTAGAACTCCTGGGCTCAAGCGATCCTTCTACTTTGGCCTCCCAAAGTGCTGGGATTACAAGTGTAAGCCACCACACTCACTGAAATTCACTATTTCATTGCTTCTTATAATTCCCAACTTTCATTTATCTTGCATATCTCCTAAACTGTCCTAAATCAGTAAAATCAAGGTGTCTGGACTTTTTTGAAGCACTGTGTTCCAGTTACCTTTTTCCCTTAGAGTAAGCATTTTCAATCTCAACTATTCTTTAAAAGTTCTAAATGTAATCACAGGATTTTATCTACTTGAGATAATTAAGTCTCATATGAACTAAAACAGGCAATACTATGGTCTTGTGAAAAGAACACTAGATCTGAAGTTAGTGAAAATTTTCAATCCTGACTTACTTATGACTGGGAAGATCTAACCTCCAGGTTCTACCGCTCTCTAAAATATAAAATGAAAATTCCAGGATCTTGTCCAGATCCACTAGTGTGTGTATATCTAAAACACTCTATAAAATATCCAAATAGTGGTAATCACTAAAAAAATATAAAAATGCAATCTGTTGTTGAAACATTTAGACTAAATTGTCATATTCATTAAAATTATTTAAAGTAAAATAAAGTTATCATCATAACTAAGTCTAAACTTGTCACATTTGTACTTATCCAATACTGACAACAATTTCAAAAATAAGAGGGGCTATCCCTGGGTTTTTCAACAGTTGTGTGACTGTGAAGCAAAAGGCCTTCCAAAAAATTTCAGATATACTACACATATCCTGTAGTTATTCCTCTGCAATCCAATCAACCTTATCTGCATGTCCAGTATTATTCAACATTAATCTCCTCAAATCATTTAAGGAACAATACTGCTTCCAAAAGCAGTAATTTCAATTTAGAATATCTTAAAAACAGAATACAGGCTGGACACAGTGGCTCAGGCTTGTAATTCTGGTACTTTGGGAAGCCAAGGTGGGAGGATCACTTGAGCCCAGACGTTCAACACCAGCCTGGGCAACACAGTAAGACCCCATCTCCACACGAAAAAATTACAACTTAGCCCAGCATAGTGACAGGAGCTTGTGGTCCCCGCTACTTGGGCAACTGAGGCAGGGGGATGCCTTGAGCCTAGGAGGTCAAGACTGCAGTGAGCCATGATCGCACCACTGCACTCCAACAAGGCAACAGAGTTGAAACCCTATCAAAAAAAAAAAAAAAAAAAAACACCAGAACAACCACAAAAAAAACAGAATACCTTTGGAGCAAAAGAAAGCAAAATACTTCTATTTCAAGATAAGGAAAATTCTCGTCACTCTGGAAAATAAAATCACTCTTTTGAAATTCTGTAATACATGAATATATGAATAACAGCTTTTAATGTTAGAAGTGTCTTATAATACTTAGATAAAATCAATGCAGCACAATGATAGGTTAAATAAAAATTCACCCTTCTTATTCTGTGACTTTAAAGTATTATCCACTATCTATGATACTTCTTTGCTACTGCTACTGGGACAGAGTTGCCCACTACAACCGGTGTGGTTCTCTCAGAAAACACACAGAAAATCAACAGTAACAACAGAAAACACACACACACACACACACACACACACAGTCTACAGTAACAAGACAAGAGGAAGAGGCAGTAGAAAGAGAAAAAGACTTTCTGACAAGGGGTAAGGGAGAGACAAAAGGAAGACAGAAGAGAGGGAAAGAAAATAAAAAGGATAACAAAATTTCTGGAAGAACAAAATCTGTTCTGGAAGAAATAATGATTTATGTTTATAAAAGTTATGTTCCCAGAAAGTGAATCTTAGTATTACACAACAGAAAGTAATAAAGAGGCCAAGAATAAAAACAATTGAGACAGCAGTGTCAGGAATGTAGCAGTGTCAGAAATATTTCAAACTCCAACTAATTTCACATAAACACATATTTTTCTCTGACCTAAATCATGAATCTTATGTAAAAGACTAAAACCAATCAAGACACCTTACAGTACTAAATAAACAGTAATCACGAATCGTAGACATCACGGAAATTCAGAGCTGTAAATTTCCCTACCAATCTTCCAGCTCAACTTACACATCACTCAGAGGAAGAAACTGAGGCCCAGTCTTGTAAAATATCCACAACCACAAACGACTGCAGAACTCAGGAAATCTAGGATTCTTTGTTCATCTATACTGGCTCTGATTTTATGAGCAAATTACTGTCAACCATAAATTTAAAATTATAAAATTCTGTCACATCTAACAATAGCTTTCTGGCAGTCAGATCAGAAGTAAACACTTCATAACATAGCACCTTTCACACAAATTAAAACATAAAAGTAGAAATATTTCACAAGGAAATTAACAAAATGTCCTAACTTAAGATAAAACAAAGATTTGATATTGTGAATGAAATGTTTAGACGTTTAGATTAAGGAAGATAACACTTAGAAGTACTTCTTTGGATGTATGCAAGAATTAAAGAATGTTCAAGGCCTATTTTTGTGCGTGATTCTTTGCAGCCAAATCATTTGGTAGATTTCTATTGCCATTCGCCTTTCTGGTTAAATAGTAACTTACTTATCAAGCTTCTTCTTAAATTTTAGTCCCATATAAGAATTTAACCACAAGGTTGTTTATCCCCTCTACATACATGTCACTAGGATCTGAGCAGACCCCTTTGTAGCCAATCAAAGTGAGGCTGCCGTGAATGTAAAAAGCTCCTGCTTTAGATTTGGGGCCTAAAACCCTGGATTTGTTTCCAGACAGACTGATACGTTAGATTGATTTTTTTTTTTCTTCCACACAAGTAAACTTGATACACGCTATTAAATTGGGCCACATTTCAATAGTTCCCATAGCAATTCATTATACAACTGATTTGCTTCAAGCTTTGTTTTAACCTAGGAGAGGTAGGTGAGGGAGGAAGGGGGCAAGCACAAACCTAAGGTTGTTGTTTTTAACTGCAGGTGTAAAACATAAGCCAATTTTCTTCAAAATACTAAGCTGCATTTTGTTCCATCTTCGTTTTCAACAAGGCTTCATATAACATCAACACCTAAGGACCTGTATAGAGTACTTCCAATCGGGAGAGGTAGGTTTCTGCTCCCCTAAGAAAAATGGTGCTCCTGGGGTTCCCTTCTCTTACCCTCCCGGTTGCTTTCACTAAGATATACTGATGGCAAACTTGGGCCCCTTGTCCTTTAGTCCCCCTAGACAATCTCTGGCCTAATTTTGATTACTCCTCCCCCTGTGTATCCCTGCTCTCTCTTAATTAGAAATCATACCTCAGAATCGTGCCTCTCTTCCCTCCTTGTAAGAGGAGAACGCCTGACCCACCACCTGGAGAACAATGTAACCCAACTCCGAGTCCATGGATTCCTCTACCCAAGCCCCAAGATTTATCTCCCAGGGAAATCAGAAAGCCAGTTCTGTCCTGTCATCCCGGATTCCCTCAAGGTGTCCTGCTCCTGGCCTAGGATTACCAGCTCCTTCCTACCCTGGAGCATTCTACTCACCCTCCTCTTCCAAGAATCTCGCCCCTCACCCTCGGATCCTTCACCGCGACCCCCGCGCCCACCCGGAGCAGCACAACAAGCGGCGAGTGGCCTCCGAGGGCAGAGCCCGCGAGGGCGGGGGTCGGGGGAGGTCGGGGGCGGGTCGAGAGCGGCGCAGCGGTGGCCGGCCACGTCGGGTCAGTGCCCCACTCCCACCGCAGGACACACGCCCAGTACCTTTGTAGTGCACCCGCAGGTTGTTCTGAGAGAGGCCGATGTAGCTGAACTTGTCCTTCGGGCTCCAGGACCGAGGCAGCGGCGTCTCCTGCTCGTCCACGGCCGGGTAGAGGCGCTTCAGCCGCCGCTGCAGCTCCTTCTCCTGCTCGTTCAGGGTCGAGTCCCCGTGCGGGAAGGGGGCCGCGGCGCTGCTGCCCGCCACCAGAGCTGGGGCCGGGGCGCCTCCGGCCGGGCCGGGGCCGGGCGAGGCCGGAGGCGCTGGGGGGCCGCTTGGCGGGGGGGGCGCGCTGAGGCAGGTGGCGCGCGGGTGGGGCCGGCGGCGGGGGGCGGGGTGGGGGCCGCGGGGGCGGGGTTGGCACGGGCGGGGAGCTGGTGGGAGGAAAAGCAGGGCGGCCGCCGCGGCCTAAGCCGTCCGCCGCCGCGCGCAGCCGGCCGAGCCGGCTGGAGAGGAGCCGGCGCTGACGGCCGAGGGCGCCGGCAGGACGACTCCGGACACTGGAGCCAAGGCCGCCGGCGGTGGCGGCGACAACTGCTGCTGCTGTTGTTGCTGCTGCTGCGGCGGCGGCGGCGGCGGCGGCGGCTGCCCGGACATCCCGGCCGCGACTCAGCCTGCGGCCACCTCCACCTCTTCTCTCCTTCCTCCTCTGCTTCCCGGGGGCGCTGTCGCTGCGGCCGCCGGCACCAGGCGCCCAGTCCGCCCGCCCCGGAAGCAGGCGGCGGGCCGCGCGCCCAGGGAGACCGCGGCAGTTGAGGGGCTCGGAGACGCGGGAGTGGGCGGCGGGCCCGGGAGGCCGGGAGAGAACCTTGGCCGGAGCGCGGGCGCGCGGCCCGGGGACGAGGTGCCGAGGGCGGGGGCGACGCGGGAGCGCGGGAGGGGAAGGCGCGCTGGCGGCCGCCGCGGCCGCTGCTCTCGCGGCTGTTTCCCGGCGGGCGGGCCCGGCCGGCGCGAGACGCTGCGCGCGGGCGGTGCTAGGCGAGGGGGCGGGACGGAGGCGCGAGAGAGGCGCGAGCGGCGCGAGGGGCGGGCCGCGGGGCTCCCGGCTGCACGCCGCGAGGCGCCCTCCCGGACCCGCCAGTCGCTCGTGGGCAGGATCGCTGGGCTCCCGGCGCCGCAGGTCCCTTCGGAGATGTCCGCCTCCTCCCGCTAGGCGGCCGCCGTCTCCCCCCTCGCCGGCGAATCCCCTCCCACTTGACTTCTTTTTGTTGTCGTCGCCCCACCTCCCCACCGTAGGGCTCCTCCGAGCCGAGACGCCGCTTCTCGCCCAGGCGAGAGTAATCGAGCCCCGCTGGGGCCGCCGCGAGCCCGGGCCCCGGGTCGCTCTAGGACCCGTCAGCTCGGGGCCTGCGGAGCGGCTCAGGCTCCCCGCGCACTGCTGCTAGCTCTCTTCTCAGTCCGGTTCCCGTTTGCCGCCTCCCTCCAAAGAGGAACGCACTGCCTTTGGTACTTCACAGTGTTTAATTTCGTAACATTGACCATATGGGCAGGGGAAACCACTTCTGAAGGCAGTCTCCCAGTTAAAATAGTGGCTATTTCATTAATTAATTTTACGAGGACTCAGTGAACTTAGTGGTAGAAGGTGTCATTAATAAAAACCGGCATATCTTCAAATACCAGGAGCAGGCACTGTATGAATACACAATTATAGTGTGTGTTTAGGAAGGGCTTCTAGAGACGTCAGAACATTTTATAGACTCGTTAATTTTCATAACTGTTCTTAGGTAACAGAAAATTATGCCCATTTTTAAAACAAGGAAATATTTACTGAGGTCAGCAGAGTCAAAAATAGGACTTCCTACTTTGCAATTCCCAATAGAATGCTTCGTCGACTAATTTGGCACAACTTGCCAAGTGTTGCTCTCTGACCCATCATAACATTACTACTTTGTTTTCACCACTTCCCTTTGTTTAGCGTATCCCTCCCTAGCTGGCAAAATCGGGCTTTGCATGTGTAAATTATATGATGTAAATTCTGATATTTTGTTTGCTTCCAAAGATATGATGGTAATCGTTTGGTCAAATAAATGTTTTGCCGAAGAGAAAATTATTTCGTTTTGAAGAAGGTAGGCCAAAGGTGATTTAATTTAAGGCCAACATTATCTGGCCAGAACAAATAACAGTCATTCAGCCTAATTTCTCCCTCAGTTACCCAGACAACTAGATGTTCTGTTGTACTTTATTATTATTATTATTGTTTTTGAGAGAGAGTCTCGCTCTGTTGCCCAGGCTGGAGTGCAGTGGTGTGGTCTCAGCTCACTACAACCTCCGCCTCCCGGGTTCAAGCGATTCTCCCGCCTCAGCCTCCCAAGTAGCTGGGCCTACAGGCCTGTGCTCACACCTGGCTAATTTTTGTACTTTTAGTGGAGACGGGGTTTCACCATGTTGGTCAGGCTGGTCTCGAACTCCTGACCTCAAGTGATCTACCGACCTCGGCCTCCCAAAGTGCTGGGATTATAGGTGTGAGCCACCACACCTGGCCTCTGTTGTACTTTAATAGAAATATCCATTAATTTTAACCTGTTTGATGACTTTTTTAAAACCACCGCACTTTAAATCACATGATGTCACTGTATTTACAATGTTCTAACACTTTCATTTATATTACAGTCACAATGAGTTCAATGTAAGCCAAGCTCTATTTGAATGTACGATAGCCATGGTAGAATAAATGGGCTCCAGGCCTCATTAAACTTACTTGAAACACTTATGAAGATGTACTTTTTTTCTGTCAGTACACTTAGGAACTATCTAGAACTTTCCGTATCTTAGGAACAGCTCAAGGAATAGAATTGTCTAACATTTTGTTGGAAGCATTTTATAAGGGGGACTGGTTGTTCTCCATCAAGAAATTAATGATTTCAGTTGTGGGGGAGGATGCTGTGAAATGGGTACTTTCTCATTCAGAAGGAGATAGAGAACATTGATAATGTCCTTTTAGAAAGCTATATACTTGGTTATATTTATAAGGAGACATAAAGGAATTCATACCTTTTGACTTATCTATCAAAAACAAAAAAAAAAGCCAAACAACACAATCTAAATATGAAAATACTTCAGGCCAAAAAATGTTCAACAAGAAGTATTAATGCCAGATTAAATATAGAAGTAAATCAAATGCCCAACCTGAAGGGACTTGAAGAAATTATCACATACCCTATTCAGTGGAGTTATGCTACAGGAGCACATATAGCACATTCGTACCAATTTTTTTTTTTTTTTTTTAAGGTATCCCTTCTGGGCAGTGGAAGTGTAAAAAGAGGCCAACCAATTAGAAAAAGGCACCCCTTCCTCTTGACTTAGTGGATCTCGGGCCCAATTTCAGACCTACTCTCTGAAACAAATATTTTATGGCCTCTTAAAAATATGTTATTGAAGGCCGGGCGCGGTGGCTCAAGCCTGTAATCCCAGCACTTTGGGAGGCCGAGATGGGCGGATCACGAGGTCAGGAGATCGAGACCATCCTG